GCTCGCTCGCTCGATGAAGGCCTGTACAAAAGTGGCCTATTCTTGGTTTGGGAACATGGGGACATCAAATGTTCTCAAACGTTCTCGCTCACCAGTCTCCTCAAAATGGGGGCTCAAACGTTCTCAACTGGTGGCCCATCATCGTCCCAAAACGTTCTCGCTCACCAGTCTCCTCCTCGCACCTCCTAGGAGGTGCGAGGAGGAGACTGGTGAGGAAGAACGCTGAAGAGCTCAGCAGCATCCCACGCGTCGCCATTTGGGCTCAAAACGAGGGCATCTCGGCGGCGCATGGCGCCGCGCAGCTCCTGCCAGCATGGCCGATGACGAGGAGCAGGACTCGGCCGCCAGGGGCCTCTCGTGTGCAGATGTGGAGCTGATGGTGTCGGAGTTCGGGCCGTTCTTCGAGCGGCCAGATTGGCTGCAGTACAAAGCGGACCTCAGCAAGCACCCGAGCAAGGCCGACCAGGAGCCCATTAGGAAGTACATCAAGGTGTGCATCACAATCAGGAGCAGAATCGCGCCGAACTGCTCGCTGTCGAAGAAGGCCACGGAGCATGCAGTCGAGCTGATCTCGAAGGACAAGTGGGAGTTCCCAGGTGACACCCTCGTGGCGTACCGCTGTGAGGTGGCGGCGAAGCTGCGGACGCTGGCCAGGCACTGCGCGTCGCTGTGGAGCAGGCCCAAGCTGCCAAAGTGGTTCGCGGAGTACCTCAAAGCAGAGGGCTACGACGAGAGCCCCGACGCCGAGCCAGCAGGAGCAGCTGCACCAGCTCCAGCAGCAGCAGCAGCAGCAGCAGCAGCAGCAGCACCACAAGCGCAGCCACCACCACCGGCGCCGCAGGGGGAGACTCCGACGACAGCATCCCCTGCTGACAGCAGCAAGTATGTGTACAAGTACAGCGAGTACAAGAACAACGCCGTCAGGATCCAGACAGGCACGATGGCCGAGATCGAGTGCGAGATGATCGAGGGCCCAGATGCCAGTGGCTGGTGCACAGCGTTCTGGGCAGACGGCGCCACGTGGCAGTTCCCGAAGCACTTGCGCGTGAAGCAGAAGGCGTCCGCCAGCAAGCTGCCCCGCATCACCTTGCAGAGCGAGAGCGAGGGCCAGATCGAGCTGTTCATGCGCCTGGCCAAAGACAGGGACCCAGACCACAGGCTCGTCCAGATCATGAAGAAGACCAACACGGGGGAGACGGGCAAGACGGCCGTGGTGGAGCAGCAGACACAGGCCAGCTGCGGGTACTGGCCCTCGGAGGACGAGGCGATCAAGGCGATGAAGGTCATCCTGGACAAGTTCCAGAGCGGGGAGATCACGACGAAGCAGGACGCCAACAAGTACAAGCTCGACATCATCAAAGGCATGGAGAAGCGACGAGGCGTTGCGGGCGCAACGATGCGGAGACAGCTGAGGCACGAGTGGGGGGTGGCACTGTTCTAATTATTGACGCTTCGCGTATCCCCACCAGCCCATTCAGAAACCCTGCCCTTCAGAGCTGACGGGAAAAGGAACGAAGAGACACAACGAGGGAAACACAGCGAGCAAGGTGGTGGCCTTGGAAGGCCTGTTCGGGCCATCCCTGGGCGCCGCATAGGGGCGAGGTAAAGAGGAGGAGGAGGAGGAGGAGGAGGAGGAGGAGGAGGAGGAGGAGGACGAGGACGAGGAGGACGAGGTCGCGGATGAAGACGAGGACGAGGAGGACGAGGACTAGGATGAGGACGGCGCGGACGAGGACTCATGGAACCATCTCTGGGAGTTTGGGGGGGCCTATTGGAATCCTCCTGGAAGGCTTCTTGGGATCATCTTGGAGGCCATCGATTACATGATAGGGGAGTCCCCAACCCAACTCCCCCCTCAGGAGCAGGCAAACCGCGTCTTGGGACTCTCTTGGAGCGCTCGTGGGCGCTCTTGGAGTTGCTTTTTTGGCCGTTTGGAGCATCTTGGGAGCCATCTTGAGCCAGCTTGGGCTATCTGAGCAATCGTGGAGGTCATCTTGGGCTCTCTCAGACCGCTCGGGTATCTCTTGGGGGCCTCTCGGATGTTTCTTGGAGCCCTCGTGGGACCCTTTTGGAGCCCTCTTGGGGCTCTGTTTGGGCTCCCTTGGGGGCCCTGGAGCGCCTCTTGGGGGGCCATCTTCGAGGCTATCGATCAAAAGAGGGAGGCACCCGATCGAGGCCCCACCCCCTCGGGAGGCACGATCCTCGTGACGGGTGTCAAAAAATGACCCTCCCAGGGGCCGATCTTGGACGCTCCAGCCGATGGCGGCAGGGGAGGGGGTAGGGGGAGGGGTAAACCCCTACCCGAAAGGGAAACGGGCTTTTGGACCAGGAAAGCAAGACATCGTTATACCACCTGCGCCCAGAGGGCTGGTGGGATTAGGATTTGAGGCGTTGCGGGCACGAGTTCGGAGGATGACGAGGAGGAGAAGGTGAACTCACGAGGAGGTGGCGGGAGCAAAATGGCTGCCCCCCCCACGGAGAGGAGGAGGAGGAGGAGGAGGAGGAGGAGGAGGAGGAGGAGGAGGAGGAGAGGAAGAGGAGGAACAGGTAAGAGGAGGAGGAGGAGGAGGAGGAGGAGGAGGAGGAGGACGAGGAGTTGGAGGAGGATTGCCACCCCCCACGCGTGCTTCAGCTGCCTCCGCATCGTTGGCGCCCAAAGGTTCGACAGCTGGCGCCGAGGCAGCCGACACGGGGCTGCAGAACGGGCTGGGAGAAGACGAGGCGCTCGGCGGCGATGACCTCGAGGGGGACGACGACGCAGCACAGAGCAAGCGCAAGGCCGCGCAGGAGGTCACACTCATCCCGATGAAGAAGGCGAAGGCGAAGGCGAAGGCGAAGGGCAAGGTGACGCCCGAGCAGATCGAGGAGCCGACGGGGGCAGAGGCTGTCGCTGCTGCCGCGGCGACGCACGTGCCGAGCACGCCCGAGCTGACCTCTGCGGCCGCCGAGCCAGCGGACACGGCCAAGAAGACGGCGCAGGTGGGCAGCTCCAAGATGGTGCAGAGGCCGGCCCAGACGGCCGTCGAGAAAGCCGTGGAGATGCTGAAGATCATGGCGTCGGATTCCGAGTAACCTGGCGAGCACGCCGCAGAACCAAAATTCATCATCACATCCACCTCCGCCACCACCACACCCACCATCATCACCATCACCACCACCTACAGCAAAACACGAGGGGAACCAGTTTCGTGAAACTGGTTTCCCTCGTGTTTTGCGGCAGTAGCCCACAGCACGATGATGAGGATGATGAGGAGGAATGATGAGGGAGGAGGCACTACCGCCACCATCATGGCCACCACGGCCACCGCCACCATCACCCATCCGCCGCGCCTCCTGTCTCATCTCGGCCTACCTCACCTCCTTCACGTCTCTACCCTCTCACACTCACTACCCGAACTCCTCCAAGCCAAGTCCTCCCCTATCCTCCCATCCTCGTGTCCTCCCTATCACCTCCCTCTCTTGTTCCTCACTCCTAACCTCCTCTCATCCTTCATAACCTGGCTGCTTGCTCTGACCCTCACGTTGATCTCTCGTTGCCTCCCCCGCGCCACCAGGAGGGGACGCAGAAGTGCAACGAGGGCTCAACCGTGGGCTACGGCAGCTTCGTCTGGACGGAGGACCGCTGCCCGACAACGCAGGAGTTCGAGGAGCAAGCGGGTGGTACCCGAACAGTCCTCCTCCTCCTCCTCCTCCTCCTCCTCCTCCTGCTGTTCCTCCTGCTCCTCCTCCTCATGCTTCTCCTCCTCCTTATCCTCCGTATCCTCCTCCTCCTCCTCCTCCTCCTCACCCCCTGCCTCCTCCGTTTCCTTCTCCTCCTCCTCATCCCCCTCCAACTCCTCATCCTCCTCCTCGTCCTCGTCCTCGTCATCCTCCTCCTCCTCAACCTCCTCCTCCTCGTCCTTCCACCCTCTCCTCATGCTCCCCTCCACCTCCTCCTCCTCCACCGCCACCACCATATCCTCCTCCTCCTCCTCCTCCTCCTCCTCCTCCTCATCATCATCATCATCATCATCATCATCGGCATCAGCATCATCATCATCATCATCATCATCATCATCATCATCATCATCATCGTCATCATCATCATCATCAGCAGCAGCAGCAGCAGCCGCAGCCTCATCATCATAATCATCATCAGCATCATCATCATCATCATCACCATCATCATCATCATCATCATCACCACCACCATCATCACCATCATCATCAGCAGCATCATCATCATAACCATCATCATCATCATCAGCAGCATCATCATCATCAGCATCAACCTCGTCAGCATTATCATCACAATCAGTATCAACATCATCAGCATCGCCACCAGCATCATCAACATCACCATCAGCAGCAGCATCACCGTCATCAACATCAGCATACTAGTCAACACCATTATCATCATACGCACCATCACCATCACCATCACTATCACCACCAGCATCAGCATCATCATAATCATCATCATCACCATTATCATCATCATCAGCATCATCATCACTATCAACAGCATCATCGACATCATCCGCATCAGCATCATCAACATCATCAGCATCAGCATCAGCATCATCATCATCATCCTCATCATCAGCATCAGCATCAGCATCAGCATCATCATCATCATCATCATCATCATCAGTATCCTCCTCCTCTTCCTCCTCCTCCTCCTCATGTGTCTCCTCTTCCTCCTCCTTCGCATACTCCTCCTCATCCTCCTCCTCCTCCTCCTCCCCTCCTCATCCTGCTCTGTTTCCTCCTCCTCCGCCTCCTCCATCATCATCCTCCTCCTCCTCCTCCTCCTCCTCCTCCTCCTCCTCCTCCCCCTTCTGCGTCTCACCCTCACCCTCCGTTGTTTGAGAAGCCCGCATCCCCTCTCGAAGGATGCGAAGCGCGTGCAGCGCGAATGGGCGCAGCGGGCTGGACGCTCTCTCGCTGAGGTCGGAGGCGACGTGGCACCGTCCAAGCCCGAGGCAGAGGCTGAGGTCGGAGGCGGAGTGGCGCAGACCATGCCCGTGACAGGGGCTGAGGTCGCAAGCGGAGTGGCACAGTCCATGCCCGTGACAGGGGCCAAGGTCGCAGGCGGAGTGGCGCAGTCCGAGCCCGTGACAGGGGCTGAGGTCGGAGGCGGAGTGGCACCATCCGAGCCCGTGGCAAGAGCTGAGGTCGGAGGCGGAGTGGCACAGTCAGAGCCCGTGACAGGGGCTGCAGTCGGAGGCGGAGTGGCACAGTCAGAGCCCGCGGCAATGGACATCGGGATGCGGTCCGCAGTCCTCGGCCAGATCGGCATCGTCGAGGCGAACCCGAGCGCCTTCGGCATGGCGCCTGCGGACCTGGCCTCGATCGGCGTGCAGCCGATGAACCCGAGCCAGGTCGGGCTGCAGCAGGTCGCCGTCCCGCCGCCGCCGTTCATGCGCAATGGCGACACCTTCGGAGCGGAGTCATTGGCTCGGAGCCTCCCGCAGGACCCGTCATCAGCGGAGCAGGGCGGCAACCTCCTGGGGCTATTCGGCATCCAGCACCTGAGCATGAAGCTCACCGAGCTCGCGAAGGAGGCTGCCCAGCTCGCGCCCAGCGCTCCCGCCGCGGGTAGGCGCACCAACATAAGAGGAGACCCCCGACCACAGGAGAAGGGGAGGAGGAGGAGGCGGAGGAGGATGAGGAGGAGGAGGAGGACGAGGAGGAGGAGAAGGGGGAGGAGGAGGAGGATGAGGAGAAGGAAGAAGATGACGAGGAGGAGGGGGGACCGAACGATTCACCCCACGAGGGGGGGGGGGTGAGCGAATCACCCCACAGGGGGCCCGAACGACTCACCCCACAAAGAACTGGCCTACGTTCGGACCGAGGTGTAAGATCGAGGTCGGTTCGGCTAGGATACACTAGTGTTATTCGTGATTGTCGGACGTTCGTGTGCTTCCTGTGGGAAGGTGCACAAAAGCAACGCATTTCAGACAACCTGTTTGTTCGGCGAACGGGTTGCTTCAAGTGCCGTGGTGCTCTGCCGCATGGGGTGTGGTCATGCATATGCCCGATAGGGGGGGATGAGGAGAACGAGGAGGAGGAGGAGGAGGAGGATACTGATGATGATGATGATGATGATGATGATGATGATGATGATGATGATGATGATATGGAGGAAGATGAGGAGGGATGATCGAGGAGGGAGGAGAAGGGAGGAGGGAGGAGGTGAAAGGGGGGATGAGCTCCCAGGTGCAGGTGGCAGCTCGGAGCCGACGTCCAAGGAGGAGAAGACCGTGGAGGATGCGTACAAGGCTCGCAGCGTCCCCACCCGCTCAGCCATCGACAGCAAGTTCAGGCGCTTCCTCGCCGAGGAGCCGAATGAGGCGGCCAAGTACAAGAAGTGCGTCGGTCGCGACGCGAAAGAGGCTTTCAGGCTGGACTGGGTGGACAAGGAGTGGGCGAAGGTGCAGACCAGGAGGATCGATTGGCATCTCAGATCGTGCACCACTCACCTCGGCCATAGCATCGAATGTCCTCTGTCGGACGCTCGACGCCATGGTCGAAGTGAGCGGGTCACAATCCCAGATGACCCCAGGAGCCACGTGAAGGAGCAGTCCGAGAGCATCGAGGACTGGGGGGAGTACAGAGCGTTCGAGGTCATTGCCAAAGAGGAGAGCGGGGTCGGCATCACGGAGTCAGGGGCGACAGCGGCGCTCAACATCTGCTTGGCCTGCATGAAGATGGGGACGCCTTTCGTGAGGTTCGACTCCTGGTCCCGCAGGATGCAGTTCTTGCACGTGAAGGGCCAGCACCGCTGGAGGTGGGAGCGCAAGTGGCAGGAGCACCAGGAGGAGCACGGTGACCAGGGCGACCTCTTGGAGCAGTTCGCGGGCGTGGTGGCGGGCAGCGAGGGCGAGGCGTCAACGAAGCGCCGCCGCCTCACGGGCAAGACGTCCGACACGGTGGCGGCGGCGCCCAGTGCGACGGCCGCCGCCGCCGAGCCCGCAGCCAGTGCGGCAGGCACCCCCGCCAGCCAGGCGGCGGCAGCACCAGTGCCCGCGGCCAGCGCTCCCCCAGCAGCGGCTGCAGGCGCCTCTCCAGCTGACGCGGGCCAGCCGTCGATGCCGAAGGCTGGCGCGGCCCAGGAGGCGCCCTCGGCCAAGGCCAAGGCGGCCGCGCCGAAGGCCAAGGCGGGCGCGCCGAAGGCTAAAGCGAAAGCTGCGGCCAAGGCCGCCGCCAGCAGCAGCGGCGGAGGTGGCGGAGGAGACGGAGCCGACGACAGAGCTGCTGCCAAGGAGGCTGCAAAGGAGCTGGCCAAGGAGAAGAAGAAGCTGGAGAGCGAGGCGCAGGCGCAGATCACGGCGTACAGCTCGGCCAGCACGCAGTCGACGCTGCTCCTGAGCAGTATCGCGACGGAGTCGGACTGGCAATGGGCCAACAACGAGATCAACACGAAGAAGCTGAGGGCGGCCTTAAGTGAGCTCAACGGCCTGACGAAAGCTGGCACCTTCCTGTCGCAGATGCTCTTCTTGCCGTTCAATGAGGTGAAGCACGACTGGGGCGAGGAGTACTTCTACAAGCACGTCGGCCCCATGACCCAGGCGATCCGCCCGAAAGTCGCGAAGGTGATGGCGGAGATGGGCCGCCTGCACAGCATGCACGCGTCGTTCAAGGCAGCCGAGAATGCCATGGGGGATGACGATCATTAGGCATGCCATGGGGGATGACGATGAACCTTCAGGCAGGCTGCGAGGCTTGGCGCGGAGCCTCGGTCGCACGATGCATGTTCGAAGTGTGAGAAGTGAGTGAGTGCATCGGCGGCAGCCTCGGGCCACGCAGCAGCGCGCTGCGACTGAGAGAATGCACTCAACACGAGTGCTAGCAGGGCGGACGCGTCTCGTTGATGAGTCGAGCAGTGGCTTGAGGATAGGGGGGGAGAGGGACGAGAGAGGAGGAGGAGGAGGAGGAGGAGGAGGAGGAGGAGGAGGAGGAGGAGAGGAGGGAGGAGGAGGAGGAGGAGGAGGAGGAGGAGGGAGGAGGAGGAGGAGGAGGAGGAGGAGGAGGAGGAGGAGGAGGAGGAGGGGGAGGAGGAGGAGGAGGAGGAGGAGGAGGAGGAGGAGGAGGAGGAGGGGAGGGGGAAGAAAGAGAATGGTGAGGGGGAGGAAGAAATATTGGGAATTCGTCAGTTTTTGCCAAACAATCCATGATTTTTTCAACTTCGCGTTCGATTTTCTTCAAACAATCCAGAAATTATTCAGAATGGCCACAAAAATACCGGATGTGCCGGACATTTTTCTAAAATTACCGGCATGCCGGGTATTTTTGCTCGACCCGTTCAAAAAAACCTGCGATGAGTTTGGCGATGAGTTTGCGATGAGTTTGCGATGAGTTTGCGATGAAATTGAGGCGCGAACCCTATATATATATATAAAAACACAAAACTCACCGCGATGAGTTTGGCGATGAGTTTGCGATGAGTTTGCGATGAGTTTGCGATGAGTTTGCGATGAGTTTCTTGTGGGTTCTATCGAGGCCAAGTTTCGGTTGTGTACACGGAGTTTTTCTTGTCTGGGCACAAAAACCTTTTCCGTGCGCCATAAAGCCCACCCTTGCACAAAAAAATATGTGATAGACCGATGGGGCGGGCGCGCAGAGAGGGGGTGGGGTGAGGAGGCAGGGGGGAGAGGGAGGGAGGGAGGGGCAATCAGGAGGATAGGAGGAAGAAGAAGGAGGATGAGGGAAGTAGGAAGAGGAGGAGGGGTGAATTGAGGACAAGCTACGCTCCAGGCATCAAGGCGAGTTGGGAGCGCTCGCACGTGTACGCCCAGTGCTTTCTCACGATGTGTTGCTGCAGTGATATGCATCATAAGGACGGCACAAGTCGCAGAAAACAGCGGACGCGCACAGATTGCACAGGCCGTGCAATCTGTTGCGGAGTATGAGACAGGATACGAACCATACAAAATCAATACAACTCACAAAACAAACGAACAACACAACCATACCATGCAGCGCTACAAACACACAACACAACAACCATCCATAACACGCAACACACTAACAAAACATACTCCATGTCAAACAACGATACTGCATGACAAGCATGCGCCACCCTTCCCAACTTCCCCCTCCCCCTCCTCGTCGCCCTCCTCCAGTTCCGTTTCTCCTGCGCCCGACCGTGCGCTCCATCGCTGAAGGGGGGTATGATGGACACGGCGGTGCCCGGGATGAGGCCACCATGACCTCTGTGGGACTCCTCCTCGTTGCCCTGTGTCACCACGCCTCGGGGCCCTCGGCCTGCAAGCCGCATCTCCCCACTGGGATTCCTCCTCCAGAGGCCCCATATGCAAGCGCCCCTCAAGCGAGAACCCAATTTTGAAACGGAGCTCCCCGTACTTAGGATGGGTCCCCCATGGGAGCTCTGTGAGACTCCTCCTCGTTGCCCTGTGTGGGCCCACACCTCGGGGCCCTCGGCCTGCAAGCCGCTTTTCCCCCCTGGGACTCCTCTTCCAGAGGCCCTTCAGTGGTCCCCTCATCAGGTCAGGCGACCGCCATGTTGGAACATACGCCGCCCGTGCCTAGGATATGTAGCCCCCATGTGGCTTCTGCGGGACTCCTCCTCGTTGCCCTGTGTGGACCCACACCTCGGGGCCCTCGGCCTGCAAGCCGCATCTCCCCCCTGGGATTCCTCCTCCAGAGGCCCCATATGCAAGCGCCCCTCACGCGAGAACCCAATGTTGAAAAGGAGCTCCCCGTACTTAGGATGCCCCCCCCATGGGAGCTCTGTGGGACTCCTCCTCGTTGCCCTGTGTGGACCCACACCTCGGGGCCCTCGGCCTGCAAGCCGCATCTCCCCCCTGGGACTCCTCTTCCAGAGGCCCTTAAGTGGTCCCCCCATCAAGCGACCGCCATGTTGGAACATACGCCGCCCATGCCTAGGAGATGTGGCCCCCATGTGACTTCTGCGGGACTCCTCCTCGTTGCCCTGTGTGGACCCACACCTCGGGGCCCTCGGCCTGCAAGCCGCATCTCCCCCCTGGGATTCCTCCCCCAGAGGCCCCATATGCAAGCGCCCCTCACGCGAGAACCCAATGTTGAAAAGGAGCTCCCCGTACTTAGGATGCCCCCCCCATGGGAGCTCTGTGGGACTCCTCCTCGTTGCCCTGTGTGGACCCACACCTCGGGGCCCTCGGCCTGCAAGCCGCATCTCCCCCCTGGGACTCCTCTTCCAGAGGCCCTTAAGTGGTCCCCTCATCAGGTCAAGCGACCGCCATGTTGGAACATACGCCGCCCGTGCCTAGGATATGTGGCCCCCATGTGGCTTCTGCGGGACTCCTCCTCGTTGCCCTGTGTGGACCCACACCTCGGGGCCCTCGGCCTGCAAGCCGCATCTCCCCCCTGGGATTCCTCCTCCAGAGGCCCCATATGCAAGCGCCCCTCAAGCGAGAACCCAAGTTTGAAAAGGAGCTTCCCGTACTTAGGATGCCCCACCATGGGAGCTCTGCGGGGCTCCTCCTCGTTGCCATGTGTGGACCCACACCTCGTGGCCCTCGGCCTGCAAGCCGCATCTCCCCCCTGGGACTCCCCTTCCAGAGAGCCCAAGGCAAGCCCACCCGACTCAACCGATACCACAATTCTTCCGCTTCGCGGGCCGCGAATCAAAAAATATATCCCCACCAGCCCATTCAGAAACACTGCCTTTCAGAGCTGGCGGGGAAAAAGGGGCGAAACGACACATCTAGGGAACCACAACGATCAAGGGGGTGACCTTGGACGGCCTCTTCGGGCCATCCCTGGGCGCCGCGCGGGGGCGAGGGGAAGAGGCGGAGGAGGAGGAGGAGGAGGAGGAGGAGGAGGAGGAGGAGGAGGAGGAGGAGGGGGGGATGAGGAGGAGGAGGAGGAGGAGGAGGAGGAGGAGGAGGAGGAGGAGAAGCACGAGCAGGAGCAGGAGCAGGAGCAGGAGCATGATGACAGCGACGAGGAGGAGGAAGAGGAGGAGGAGGAGGACGAGGAGCATGATGACGCGGATGAGGACGACGAGGACGATGACCAGGATGTGGACGACGCTGACGAGGACTCATGGAACAATTTTGAGGTAATATCGCGACTGCTGGTGCTGGCGCTCTATGGGAGTTTGGGGTGCCTTCTTGTAGCACTGGTAGCACTAGGCAGCTTATTGGGACCATCTTGGAAGCCATCGATCACATGATGAGGGGTTCCCAACTCAGCCCCCCCTTCGGGGGCAATCAAACTGCGTCTTGGGGCTCTCTTGGGGCGCTCTTGGAGCGGTATCGGGGCCGTTTGGGGCATCTTGGGAACCGTCTTGAACCAGCTTGGGCGATCTGACCCAGCTGGGAGGTCATCTCGGGCTTCCTGAGACCGCTCGGGTGTCGCTTGGGGGCCCCTCGGGTGCCGCGTGAGGCCCTATTGTGGCCCTCTTGGGGCCCTCTTGGGGCTCTCTTGGGGCCCTCTTGGGAGCCCTGGATCGCCTCTTGGAGCCACCGTCGAGGCTATCGATCAAAGGAGGGAAGCTCCCGATCGCGCCCCCACCCCCCCTCTTCGGGTGCAACGCCCCTCGTGATGGGGTATCAAACATTGGCCCTCCCAAGGTCCGATCTTGGACGCTCCAACCGATCGCGGCCCCTCCCGTCCAGGTCCAGGGGGGGTTAGGGAGAGGGGCAAACCCTCACCGCATGGGAATACGAGTTTTTGGTAGGGAACGAGGTGCCATCGTTAGACCACCTGCGCCCAGAGGGCTGGTGGGAGATTGAAAAGGAACCGCCCATGGTGAGAGCTCTGCTGCACTCCTCTTCATGGCCCCCACGCCTCACGTAGCCCCTTCACTGGCTCCAGCTGTCCGAGTCGCCCCCGACGCATACCCTAAGTTCTCCCTGCTGCGATGAACAACCGATTTGGCGAGGCGTGGGAGCGGGAACGAGATGCGCTCCAGAGACGTGAGAGTGCTGGCGGGACCCTCTGTGAATATCTGTTGTCGATGTATGCGGAGAGCCGCCCTATGACAGCGAAAGACGTTTGTATACTAGCATGGCACGCAAAACATGCTGGAGCGATTGGTACTGTTTGTAATCTGGCGATGGACCCGAAAAACAAGGGAGGGTCGTTCCAACAACACCTCGACACATGCATCCCCAAGAGACCGCCCGACGGCTACTATTGGGTAGAGACCCCTGTGTTTTCGAAAGGTGTTGGGCGAACAACTCGGCGGATTCCAACGGTCCCGTTACACGAGGCGATCGAAGAGCAGGTGGTCGCATCCCCAGAGCTAGCGCGCGATCAGTTGGACACCAACCCAGAGTTCCTGGAGTGGCACAGTTTGGGGTTCGCAAGCTGCCGCCCCTAACCCCTCTGCCAGAAATCCAAACCCCAGGGGGGGGGCAATCACCACATGAAGAACTCCAGAATCCCAAAGCCAACATCACAACCCCCCAACAAGACAAAACAACCAGCATTGCCACTTAGGGGTCGGGATTGCTGGCAGTGGGGTCAGGAAGCAACGTCCGAACGTCATGAGAGTATTGAGTTGGCATCCCGCGGTGCGCCGCGCCTATCCAGAACGAGTGCTGCTGCTGAGTCTATATTCCGATGGCATTCGCTTTACTCGGTCTGAACGGGTTGGAAAGACTGATACACTCCTAGGATTTTTCGTTCACCTTGTTCCCCACGCCAGGCGCCACACTGTAGCGATCCT